CTTTCTATCCTCATAAATGGTGTACAAGCCTTTACCTGATATCCTCTGTAGCAAGACAATGCTTCACTTTATACCATCCAAAATGGATTTTTCTGTAAGCTTTTCACCTCTTGGAATCTGTGCCAAGTGTTAAAAAGGAACCATGGAGGCCTTTGATTGCCTTAGGCCTTGTTTGGATGTTGTTGGATTCACCTCAATCCACATGTATTGGGATAGATTGGGGTGGAATTTAGTTCAAGTTCCACTCCAATCCACCCCAACACGTGGATTGATGCAAATCCGGCTACATCCAAACAAGGCCTTATCTGGATTACCTTTGTCAAGACTCAAGAAGTCAGGAGGCTGTTAGCCTTTATAGAGTCAGATGCCTGTACTACTCTCAGCTGGATTTCAGTTCTGCACTGTAATTCGTACCATGTGAAATTTCCTCTCCTTGGAAGTGAAATTACTGGACTTGAAAAGATAACAGCATTTAGAATGTCTTTTTAAGAGGACAATGTTGTAATGCATCAACCATCAAGTCTGAGATGCCTAGCCTAACCACTCCTGCTTTCCTTCATTGTGTTGATTTTATTGCTAATTTTGGTAACTCTCGCAGCTTGAAGCGTGTGCACACCCATTCTTTGATGAGTTGCGAGAACCACATGCGAGGTTGCCAAATGGACGGCCATTTCCTCCACTGTTCAACTTTAAACAGGAAGTAAGTAGTTTCAAGACTGATACACATTAATGCTCTGCATGTGCTTTTCTTTTAAAGAACTAGGCAAAGCATGTGGGGAACTGTAGTCATGTTTGACTGAAATGGTCATTTCAGCGTGCATTCAACAAATGTCACGAAACAGCTGAACATAATTTTCTTTCTACAAGTGAAAGATACTGACATATTTGTCTGTTAATTTGCAGCTAGCAAATGCCTCCCCAGAGCTCATCGACAGGTTGATCCCAGACCATGCTAGGCGGCATCTTGGGCTCACTTTATTGCCCACTACCGGACCATAGGCGAAGGCTCTATGGTGTTTAAACCTTGCTCTTCTGATGCTTCGTTGTGCCGAAGGCAACCTGCATGTTCCTCACATTCAAGGTGTAGAATCTGACCATTATTGGAAAGCCAAACATGAGCTGGCGCCAATGTGTTGCATAAGGAGATGTGGTATGTTCTTGCAGCCAGCCTTTGTCGCCTGTTTTAATGCAAAATCTGATTTTGCCTAAGTAGTGAGAGGGAAGGGGTCGGTGTATTGTGAAGCTATTGAAGGAATTCAATCCCTGCTATTGTATTAATTTCTCCAACATTAAATGTTGTAGTGCGCCTGTAAGTGTTCCATATTCCCTGTTGTCAGTCAGTGTAATTCTGTAAATGTTATTAATGGGAAATTATATCGTGCTATGGTAATGATCGACTCATTTATTGTTCCCCTTGCCTATTTCCAACCACATATCCCTTGTTGGAAACAAATTCGTTTTCATTGTCAGTCGTGCTGATCTGATCGGGGAATTGTTTCTTGCAGCTTCCTGTAAGAAAAAAATTACTTCTGAATGGTCTATCATTTTCCTTGCTATGAGTTTCTGAACTTCTCTGTTACATATATGGATGATGTAATCCTGGATGAATTGTCATCCTAGAGTAGCATCAGATCGGCATGTGTCTAGTGCAAAGGCAGAAGAGCCAACACAGATATAATGGGGGAATAAAAGTTACAGGTGAGGGCGAATGTGTTCTGTCGGCTACGGCGGGCAGTGGCGTGGTCCATTGGCGATTGATTCTGTTCGTTAGTGTGGTTGAGCAGGCCGCCATTTATTCGCTTTATTTGTCGCGACGCCGACACCGTGATACACCTGCTCAGTTTTCTGTCTCAACGGCATTTTGCAGTTGACTTGGCAGCCTGCAAGTTGCTAAAGCATACCGTTGTTTTGTTCCTTGTAAAGGTTTCAAGAGTTCACACTGGCTATTACTGCGTTGTATCCCTGCATAATTTTCAGTATTCTATGGTCAATAGTCACGGTACTGACAGGTTCAAATTGGAAATGAACGGTGCTGCAGGTTTCGAAGTGAGCAGGTGAAGCTATATAGATTCCGAGTATATCGGTATATGGGACCTCAGGATTCGAACCAGGATTACAGTGTGTGTCTATATACCACCCACTTATTATAAGCTGTCTGATACGGTTCTGGTTGTGGCTCCGCCACCAGAGCGGACGGAGCCACACCTAATATGCTCGGACGGAGGAGCGCTGTCGGCCAGGCGTAAGACGACTCGGAGCCATTTTCTACGTCCCGAGATGAAAATGTGATTTGAGACTCCGTCTCCCGTGGTGATGTAGACTGAACAGGAGCCGCACCATAAATGACCTTAGGGCATGTTTGGATGAAGACCTGGCCCGAAATGCCTGGTGACATTCGCTGCCTGTGTACTGCCTGGGAGTCGTTTGGTTCAAACCCTGAAGTTTTTGCCTGGTTCGAAGTTGTCTGTGCATGTTGCCTACTGCCAGGCTTACAAAATCGGTCGCCTGGCTCCCATCCAACTTGCCTGGGACTAATCAAGCCATTCACATCACAGGAAACACTTCCACCAAACGCTGCCTGCCACTTTTCTTCACACAGGCATGATTTCAGTATCTGAACCAAACAATGCTAGTCTGCCTTACCAGGCAATTTTCTACTCAATAACAGGCAACACACAAGCAGGTGAAATATCCAGGCAACTACTCCAGGCTAGCATCCAAACATGCCCTAATCTTGTGGGGAAATACACCTGAAAATACTTGAAAACCATTGAAAAACATATGCAATATTCAGATCTACTTTTGCATCATCCAAGTAAAACACCTGCAGCATACGTATGAAACACCTGAAACACTTGAACATACGCTTACAATATACATGTTATGCAACATCCAGATATACTTCTGCAACATTCAGGTGAAGCACTTGAAACATACGTTTAAAACATATGAAACATATGCTTGCAACATGCGTATATAGCCATTGCAACATACGCAGCATCTAGATGAAACACTTGAACACATATACCTGAAACACCTGAAACATGACATCTCCGGTAGCCACGGCCTACGTCGTGAGGAACTGCAGCTAGCAAGCGGCGCTCGAGTGTAGTGGAGAGCGAGGATGGCGGCAGGCGGGCGGCTCGGCGCGGTGGAGGGAGGAAGGATGGCGCCAGGTAGGCAGCAGCGGTCGTCGCGGACCATGCCGGAATCCGCGGCGACGCAAGCTCGACTAGTGGTGGCACCCCCGGCAAGCGGCTCCTGTAGTGGAGGCAACGGCGGCGGTCAGGCGGGTGCGGCCTCATGCGGCGAGGCGCCCCCTGCTGCTGGAGAAGGTCGCAGCGGGCTGGTGCCGTGCCCGCGGCGAGGAGCCCCCGCACTGGAGAACGCGCGGCGAGCGCCACCCCCCTCCCCGCTGGAGAAGGCGAGCGGTGGGCGATGCGGTGGAATCTACTGCGGCGGTCGAGGGCGTGGTGCAGCGGTGAAGAATACTGCAACGGGCGAGCGATGATGATTAGTGAATCGGCGTCCATCAGTTGTTTTTAATAGAGAAGTGCGAGCCTGTTGGGCCGGTCCGTTGCATAGGCTAGGAAGCCGTCCTCCAGGGAGCATTTCTCCTATATCAACAGAGGCGGATGTTCAGGTTAATATGAGAGTGGTAGGGACCAAGGAGTGATAGCACACAAATTTTCAACATTTGTGCGTAAATGACAAAACCATTTGAGGACGGAGTAATGAGAAAAGCAGAGAGAGACACAACATTTGGACTTTTTAAGAACGAACAAACAACCGTTCGATGAAGAAAGAAAAACAGAAAGGAGCAAGCAGACGAACAAAACACAACAAAACCGGTCAAGGAGAGCAGTTGGCGTAATTGGCAGACCGGAAGCGCCAATTCCCTGGCCAACCCTTCCAAGTTTCCGTCCATCTCGAGGAATAGAATAGGATCTCTCTCTTTCTACCCTCCCAGTCTTCTGTTCTAGGACCAGGAGTGTCGGCACACCCAGGAAAACAAACAAAACCGCGGCGACAAAAAAGAAGGGGAATCGAGGCCGGACGCCAAACACTGGGCACAATTCCCCACCCGTCCTCGGCAGCCACCCGTCTCCACTTCACTTCTCTCTGACTCCTTAATCACCCGCCTGCCCTTCCTCTTAATCTACTCGCTAAGGGTAGTCTCAATAAAAAAAACCAGTAGTTTTTATAACATAGATACCGTAAAAAAAAATCATTTTTCAACCCATGATTTCTATGTATAATAATTATTTTCTCTTTCTCTTTCACAACTCTATCTTCTTCCTCCGATGGAAGTGTGGCACGAGCCCTATAAAAACTGGTGGTTTCTCCCCAATGACGATTTCCTAGTTTCTGGGTGCATTGAGTTCAGAGAAGATATGATTTCTTCACGAGAAATCATTTCTAAGATTTTTGCTCTTTTTTTTATTAATTACGTTACCATATTAACATTTTATCTACGTAACAAATCATTTAACGAGGATAGAAACCATCGTCAATACACCGTTGGGACTGCCCTAATCTACTCCACTCTCTCGCCTTAATTAAGCCCTTGTTTAGTTCCACCCCAACTTCCAAAAATTTGCTACAGTACCTATCACATCGAATATTTATGGCCCGTGCATAGAGCATTAAATGTAGACGAAAAGAAAAATTAATTGCACAGTTTAGTGGGAAATTATGAGAGAAACGTTTTAAACCTAATTAGTCCATATTTAAACACTATTTACTAAATAAAAACGAACGTGCTACAGTACCCCCTAAAATCCAAATTCCTACGACTAAACACAGCCTAAACCCCACTCTAAAATCTACTCGCTAATCTACGCAGCGGTGTCCGTCGCGTCACTGCACTGGACTCGATACGCCCCAGCCGGAGCCGGGTAATATACCATGGCCACCACCACCACCCACGCCCTCGCCGCCGCCTCCGCTCGCGCTCGCGCTACGCTTCGCTTCCCCAGTCTCCCTTCCCCCCGCTCGCTATGGCGGCAGCACCGCGGCTCCTTCCCCTCGCCGCCGCCGCTGTCGCGGCGTGGATGCTAGCCGCTGCTGCCGCTGGCGTGGAGGCCGGGGACCCGCCGCTCTCGCCCAAGGGGGTCAACTACGAAGGTGCGCGCGCGCGCTTGCCGTGGCTGGGCTTTCCAGGGGGTTTAGGGTTTGGTGACTTGGGGTTTCTGATGCTCTAGGGGCGGTTTTGCTTGGCTTGTGTTGTGCAGTGGCGGCGCTCATGGCGGTTAAGAGCCGGCTGCGGGACGAGAGGGGGGTCATGGCCCACTGGGACATCTACTCCGTCGACCCCTGCACCTGGTCCATGGTCGCCTGCTCCCCGGACAAGTTCGTCGTCTCGCTGTGAGTGACCTCTCTCTCCCCCATCTCTGATCCCGGACCCTTTTTCCCATCGTTGGCTGTTTGCTGCGGGTCAATGACAGTGCTTTGTTTCGTTTCGTACCGGAGCTGCAGCCAGATGGCCAACAACGGCTTGTCCGGGACGCTGTCGCCGAGCATCGGGAACCTCAGCCACCTCCAGACAATGTGAGCGTTTCAGGATGACGAACCTACCTTTCCATTTCGGTTGCTTCTTGTTTGTTTCATCCCCAACAACTCTACCATAGTAGTAACATCGCGTGCCTCACGTTCACAGCACTGTAAAATAGGCATGCATTCGAGTTGAACTGGTTGAAGAATGGGATGATTGTGATGTTTCAAATTTTTGTAGAAAAGAATTGACGCTAGGAAAGATGAATGTGATGTTTGGTCTGTTCAGTTCGCCCAGCTCCTAGTTTAGTCCAACACTGACAGATGTGTCGCTATCATGTCACTTGCAGTCTTGCAGAGCAGTGAAGGAACATTGCAATAACACTCTTGGTTTATCATTATTTTGAATGGAAATCCTACGTAGGACCCGTGTACCACTTATAAGCCTGGATCATCAACCTTCCAAAGTCAGGACAACAACAAAGCAAAATATGATAGTCTACAAATATAAGAGACCATGGTCCATGCACACCAAAACCACAGCCTGTTTCCTCATGATTCTTTTTTTGTAACTTTTTATTGCCAACAAGGCAGGTTTGGGTGTCCCCAGTTCCTTTTGGAATCATATGGAAGCAAATAGAACCCACTATCCTACCATTGACAATGTTAATTAGGAGAGTTTCCATCGGGGTGTTCTAGACCTTCTATGGCTTCTTGAACACAGAATGCCCATTTGTATACACACCTGATGCTGTGTGTCATAGCTCCTAAGTATATATGTGTTGTTTTCTGAATCCGACCGATTTGTTTGTGTAATTGCCCGGTTTGATTTATCATAATAGATAGGTTTCAAATTTTTGTAGAGAAGATGATTTGTCTTTTAATTTTCCTTACCTAACATTCGGTGGTTTGTTGAATTAAGTTACACAAAGCTAACTATTTTTCCTCCTAATTTCAATTATAGCGTTCCTTTCTTATAACATTATATAACCAGGGACTGTTGGTTTATCCATATATTGTGCTACACTGGCATAGTGGATCTAGAACCTTCACGGCTTCACCTCACAAATCTGTTTACCACGAAATGTTTGCTTAGGTCAGTGGTTAGCTCCCAAATGAGGAAGCATAAGCAGAAGTCTCTTCTTGGTTTTGTGTGATTGATCATAAAGGGCGTACCCAGTGCAGAGAGCTCCCGCTCTGTGCGGGGTCTGGGGAAGGGTGTCAGTGGCAAGCCTTACCCTCGCTTGTGCAATGCGAGGAGACCGCGACTCGAACCCGGGACCTTCCGGTCACAGGTGATAAGACTCTACCGCTTGCACCAGGCCCGCCCTTCTGTGTGATTGATCATCCAACTTGAAAATAATGCTGCATCATTCACCCATCTTAAAAGTTAAGAACATTGGCTATTTCATGATTTCCTTCTCAATTCTGGACTTGTGTCGGATTTCCTGTTGGATTTCACTAACTATGACTACTATCCATCCCTTGTGAAATGAGATAGTACCTGTGTTCAATAGCTGACCTTATTGTTGGTTTGATTCAGGTCACTACAGAACAATAGAATATCAGGTGAAATTCCTCCAGAGATAGGGAAGCTGATCAATCTGAATGCTCTTGACCTTTCTAGTAACGAGTTCATTGGTGATATCCCAAGTTCATTGGGGCAATTGACTCGACTAAATTATCTGTGAGTTTATTTCAAAAATGTTTCTTAAGTTTACAACATGTATTTTGTATTAAAACTGTTGCTTTGTCGATCTCTCAGACGCCTTGATAGGAATAACTTGTCTGGGTCGATTCCGGCAGATGTTGCTAGGCTTCCAGGTCTCACATTCCTGTATGTTTCTTTCTGATTCTCTTTTTCACACAATTGAGTTGTAACTATTGGCTATTTGGCTTTAAACTGACAAGGTGATATGTTTCAGTGACTTATCATTCAACAATTTAAGTGACCCAGTTCCAAAAATCTATGCACATGATTACAGGTAACTGTTGGGGGTGTATGTATAAGCTCTTATTTCTCTCACTCCATTTCTTTTTAAGCATATTTTGGTCAAGCACCTAGATTAGAGAGACCATGGACACAGAGGACACAAGGAGATGACCATGGTATCCATGATGTTAATTTCTGGGGAATAATGTATGGAACAATTTGTGGATTGTTTATTAGAAAATGTTGAAGAGAGGGGGTGAGAATAAATAAGGGAAAGGAGAGAAAGGGTAATTTGCATGTGCGCCTTATATGTCAAAGTAAGATTACAAATTCTATAGGCCATATACTTTTGAAATTGATGGAGTACTGTCTTACTCCATTTTCTCATCCAAAATCTTTTGTCAGTTGCAATGAATGATTATTTGCTCCCCACCTTTCTGACACTAAAGTTCTCTTATTACATTGCTTAAACTGAGACTAAGCATGAACATTCTTTTCTGATAGTTTGGACATTTCACTGAAGATAACTGTTTATTTTGTTTCTCAGTCTTGCGGGAAATCGGTTCCTTTGCAATTCCTCAATTGTACATGGTTGTTCGGATCTGACAGCAATGACTAATGGTAGTTGTTTTCCCAGATGGCATATCTTTTACATATCTATTCTTTAGAAGCTGGAACTTAACTGTACATTAATGGCAGGGACAATGTCGAGACAGGTCCAAAAGGCCAAGAACCATCATCAATTAGCTCTGGCAATTTCTTTAAGTGTCACCTGTTCCACAATATTAGTTTTGTTGTTCGTGTATTGGCTAAGTTATTGCAGATGGCGCTTGCCTTTTGCTTCTGCTGGTAATTATCCAAGCCTATGTAGTATGCTCTCTTTACAGGTTAAATATACATGATTTGACGTTTTTGTTTGTTTGTAGATCAAGATCTAGAATTTGAATTGGGTCACGTGAAGCATTTCTCATTTCATGACCTGCAAAGTGCAACGGACAGTTTTAATTCGAAGAATATATTAGGTCAAGGAGGTTTTGGCATTGTGTATAAAGGCTGTTTGAGAAATGGAACTTTAGTGGCAGTGAAGAGATTGAAAGATCCTGATGTTACCGGTGAAGTCCAATTTCAAACAGAAGTTGAGTTGATTGGCCTCGCTGTGCACAGGAATCTCTTGCGTCTGTATGGATTTTGCATGACCTCGAAAGAACGGTTGCTTGTATATCCATATATGCCAAATGGCAGTGTTGCTGACCGCTTGAGAGGTAACTCAATTGTCTACAACATTTCAATGTTATTTAAGTCTACAATTGGCATTCTGTGCAAGTCCTTCGCATTCCTTGTAAATATTTTGCCTAATACTATGTGTTTTGGTTGGTTCTTTGCCACAGTCATATCATCTGTTTATATATCCTTATCACTTCGTAATATATGGGGTTGCAATTTTCAGATTACCGTAATGGAAAACCATCTCTTGATTGGAGTAAACGCATGCGGATTGCTCTTGGCGCTGCCAGGGGGTTACTCTACCTTCATGAACAATGCAATCCTAAGATCATTCACAGGGATGTCAAAGCTGCAAACATATTGCTTGATCAAAGTTTTGAAGCAATCGTTGGGGATTTTGGATTGGCAAAACTTCTTGACCGTCAGGAATCACATGTTACTACTGCAGTTCGGGGCACTATTGGGCATATTGCTCCTGAGTATCTCTCAACTGGACAGTCCTCAGAGAAGACTGATGTTTATGGGTTTGGTATTCTCCTGTTGGAACTGATTACTGGTCCTAAAACCTTGAGCAATGGACATGGCCAGTCTCAGAAAGGCATGATTCTAGATTGGGTAAACTTCTGTGCACTTATTTACGTACTATTTACTGTATTTCAACCCCACGCTGCACAGATTTGACACCTGTGTTCCTCTTCAGGTTAGGGAGCTAAAGGAGGAAAAGAAACTGGATAAGCTGGTCGACAGGGATCTCAGAGATTCATTTGATATTCTTGAGCTGGAATGTTCAGTCGATGTGATCATCCAATGTACACAGACGAACCCTATACTGCGGCCTAAGATGTCACAAGTTCTGCACGCTCTTGAAGCTAACGTCACGCTGGCGGAAAGCAGCGTTGAGTTGAATAGGGAACCTCTTCCTTATGGCGTACCTTACAGTTTCTCTATAAGACACGAGGACCCACATGATTCGTCGTCCTTCATAATAGAGCCAATTGAGCTATCTGGTCCCAGATGACAGCTGCTGTCGGTCTGGTTGGAGCGAAAAGAAACAGAAAAACGGTAAAATTGTACAAAACATGTATATCCTGGAAAGAGTTTGTTGGGTGTTGAAGCACCGTACAGATCATTTTGAACATGGAGCTGGGGTGGTCATGATGGTTATTTTGTCGCATGATCCATCAAGTTCAAAGCTATAGTTTTACCCCCTAGCTTTGTTTTTACATTGCATCTGCCACCCATAAGCCGGTCATCGTGCCGTGATATGTTCGAAATATTCATGGAGATGGTTTAATATCTCCAACAAACACTTTCACTGTGATAGGTATAAACAATTTTAGCAACGTTGAGATCTACAGAGTTTTCAATCCACAATTTGGTAATATTTCCACCAGAAAATTGCTGCAAAAATGGTACACTCTATACAAATACGTCAGTTCTAAGTTCTCATTGCCAGTTGCAGTAGCTTGACCTCAGTTCATAGTGCTGTACTGCTGTCATCTTGAGGCAAGCTCTCCTTTTTTTCTGAGAAAGAAAGAAAAAAGCAGTATAGGAGGCCGTGACCGTGAGAGACAGTCTGCTTGCGACATGCACCCTCAGTTCGTCAGGCATGGGCCCTTTTACAGCAACGGCCCATGAGACTACAAACCTGGACCGGCATAGGAGGGCCGAACATGTCAGCCGCAAACGGGAAATTAGCATTGGGCCCAAACAAGCGCGCCGCGCGCACGGGGGAGCGCCAGACCGCGGGTTGAGTAGAGGCGGCGCAGCTGTTAGTCCCACATCGCCTGCTGAGCCGCGGAGGGGCGCGAGGCGCTCTACAAAACAAGGCGAGGGTGCCCGACTTCAACTCATACCTTTCTCGGCCTTTTGGCTAAGATCAAGTGTAGTATCTGTTCTTATCAGTTTAATATCTGATATGTGGGCTATGTGCCCACTTCGATATTAAATTTATTTTTTGTGGGGGAGAGGTCGCAACAGTAGCTTGCTACTGGGCCTCTCGAGTGTCGCTTGGGCGTTGCACTACAGCCCTAGCCAGGCGCACCCCAACCAAGCTAAATAAAATTTTGGATTGTTCTGAGCAGAATTTAAATGTTCAACCAAAGCTAATATAAATTTTTGATGAAGCAAACTGTTGCCAAAAAAAATCTTACTACAACTAAAATTTTTGATTGATCTGAGCAGAATTTAATTGTTCACCCCACCCAAAGCTAATTTATATTTTTTATTGATATATGTGCAGGATTTTAATGATTTGATTTGAGCCTCGCTTGGGCGATGTTCTACAGCCCCAAGCATGGCAACCAATCAATGCTAATTTAAATGTTTCGACTAAATATGAAGTTTGTCAATAGCATAACGAAACATGCAGATTCGCTTATCTGGCACGCCTTAATTTACAACTCTAATCTTCAAAGTAACTGAAACGCTGGACAAATCAGTTCTTAAATTTCGCACTATAAGTTATGCTACAGCCTTTTGCAGCTGGTGTAACAATTGTCATGAAAGACCGGAAAACAGAAAGTAGAAGAAACAGGATCAGTATGTAGCTCTCAAAACTGAAGTTTTACATTATGCTACAGCCTTCTGCAGCTGGTGAAACAATTGTCATGACAAGACCGGAAAACAGAAACTAGAAGAAACAGGATCTGTATAAAGCTCTCAAAACTGAAGTTTTACATTATGCTACAGCCTTCTGAAGCTGGTGAAACAATTGTCATGACAAGACCAGAAAACAGAAACTAGAAGAAACAGGATCTGTATATAGCTCTCAAAACTGAAGTTTTTACATTATGCTATATAGCCTTTTGCAGCTGGTGTAACAATTGTCTATGTCAAGACCGGGAGACAGAAAATAGAAGGAACAGGATCAGCATGTAGCTCTCAAAACTGAAGTTTTATATCTCTGGGTCTCCATGCATGTGGGACCAGCAGGCTGAACTTATTTCTCCAGGACGACCATGTTATTATGTCAGGAAAGAAAAAAAAAGGCACTTCAAAGCCCCATTTCATCGGCCAAAGGTAGGGACCGTAACTCAGTTTGGTTTGGTAACCTCATGAATCGCATTTGCCAAGTAAGCAACATTTCCTGTTGTTACACCAGCCATGCTGAAATTGGCACGGGAATGAAGTTAGATTCATTCTTCGGAAGGTATGAAGAAACAGATAAATGAATCAACGTGATGTAAAAAATAATAATTAGGAAGTGTACCTTATCCTCCCATTGCGTGTCATGTAAATGTGGTATTCATTTGTTAAGCGGTCAACTTGTTCAGGTGTCATCCCACTGTAGCAGAACATTCCGATCTATACAAAGACACGTACCCTTTATTCATATACAAATTCACCACATACTAAATTACTAATAATAATGCCACACAAGCCGTAAATTGAGTCTGACCTAATAAAAAAGGGTACTGAAACAAAATGCAGTGGCACGGGAAAAGACATGTTGCAAGGAGATCTATTGCTATCCAGTAAAGGTATCAGCAAATTCAGAAACACATGATGAGATTGGTCCTGGTTAGTAACTCTATACACTTAAAAATCAAAATATGATTGGCTGATGTACCGGCTCTCGTTTGGAACTTCAAAAGTTTGGATATAGTCCTTCCATTGTACTTCTTTCCTAGAATATCAAACTAAACATTTTGATAGCTAATATGAATGAACAATTTTTGCTTCATGAAAATAGCAGTAATTGATTCCTCTTAATTCTAAAAAAATACTTACATATCATCACAATTGCCACACATTCTGCTAGATGTCACTATAAAAATCAATGATCAAAGGGGTGTATCTCAGACTCTCAGACTTATCTATGTTCAAAGCATTAAGTAAAAAAGACGCTAGATGCCCTTGTTTGTCATTATCTATTCCCAACTGTTAGTCCCAAGGTTGGCCAGCTCAAAGGGCCTTGTATTTTTTTTTTATTTACTAATCCAAACCACGCACCAGACTGAACTCCAACAACATTATGATACAAACCAGATAACCTCAGCCTTGGGATAATCAGCTACTGGTCACTGTTGTAAACTGGAGAATATACATGTTACTCTAAATATCAATAAATATATTCAGATTTCAGAAACATGGAAGTGATTTCTCATAGTTGTATTACCTGATTAGTGATATGATCCCATGACAAAGGTGAACCTAGCTTTTCAAGATTTTCCTTAAGTGCCTTCCGCATGCCAATGATACGATCAGCCATACCCTGAAACAATCAGTAGGGTGTTGATAAAATTCTTCTGTATTCACTAACAATAGATTTAACCATCTAACCATTTAAGAACATTAAGTACTTATGTAGGATTCACAATTTACCTTGACTTCTTTTAACCATAAACCCTTCAATTCTGGATCATTGAGGATTATAGAAACAACCAGTGCACCATGAACAGGTGGGTTGCTGTACATTGGTCTCGCGATCTGTTGCAGTTGGCTCTTGACAGCAACTGCTTGCATCTCATCCTCACACAGAATACTGCAATATTGGTAACAAGCACACATTATAGTGATTAGTGTACTACCATTATCTAAAAACTAAAAGTAATCACACAATAGTCACTATTTGACCAAAAGTTTAAACAGTGGAGCACCAATTATATTAAATATCATCCACTTAGCTACAGAGAGAATGCAATAAGGTGCACTCAAATTGAAAAAAAAACAAGTCTTTCATTAAGTCTAAGTCTGCCCCCCCTTCCCCCTTTCTTTAGAATGCTCTATATCGTAAGAAATCCAACAACTCTTTCTCTCAGAAGCATAGAAAACCCCAATGAAGAATACTAAGAAATCCAACAGCTGTTATATTAGAAAACTAGCCACATGTCATTTAAAAAATCACGCATGTCGGTATACTAAGAAGTACAGCAGGTGACAATGCTATATGTAAACAATAGCTAAGGCACTGGTCAACTAAATACCTCAGGCATCCTGCTCTCTGTCCATAAAGTCCCATATTCTTTGCGTATGACTGAGCACATCCAATTTGGTGTCCATCTTCAAGGAAAATTCGGATTGCCTTGGCATCTCTCTCTGGATCACCACTGGCAAACCCTTGGTATGCCATGTCAAAGAATGGAAAATGTTTCTTCACCTATAGAGGAACAAGAATGAAATTTAATAGGTGTGGCTTGTAGGAGTTCACAGGAAATGCTGTAACTTTTCTGTTCCCCAGTTCAGTTCCCCTTACCTTGAACTGATGGGATATTTCTCTCCATTGTTCCTCTGTAGGATCTACACCAGTAGGATTATGAGCACATGCATGAAGCAAAAAGAATGAACCGTCTGGAGCATTCTGCAGATGACAGAAAAAACATAAACAAAAGGAATTTCAGACATTCTCAGCACTCAGCAGAACAGAACAGATTCACTGAGCAGAAAATAGTCTCTCGGGGTTCCATTTCCAAATTTCAACTGACTGGGTATCTGTATTGTACCAAGAGAACTATAAATGCACAATGGAGAATACAAATTGCTACCAAAGTAACAAGCGGAGCTAAATCTGTAGCTGGTAGGAGTGTAGGACACGAGATTTAAGAATGAATCCATAAAAAGCTTAATACATACGGGAAGCAGCAAGAATGGAAGAACAAAAAGAAACAATATTGAACGTGTTAAAATGTTAAAGAAATGAACCACCTTGATGTCATTCATCAATCCTGAAAAATCAAGCCCTCTTGACTCTGGATGGTAGTATGTGAATGTCTTCTGTGGCACTTGAGCATCCCTCCAAATATTGTGATGGCTGGAGAAGTCCCCACATTATAAGCCAATATAAAGTGACAATGAAAGGTCAATGTTAACTCTGTAAAGAATCCTGGATGGCTAGTTGGCTACCATAGTCCATAGGTACACAGCAGGTAAACATAAGTTGAGATTAACTCTTCGCCAAACGAATTGCAAGGGAGTGCAGTGCACACTCATCTCCATAGCCCTACTACTTCATTCCTTTTTTTTTTCCTGTGAAGTAAACAAAATAACATTTGGTGTCACAGCAAGGTGTCAACTCACTTGGACCACGTTGGTGTTGATATGTAGATCTGCGAATCAGGCAAAAAACGCTTCTGGAAATCAGCAAAGAGCCGGCAGGCACCAGTGTCTGAAAGAGCCTGCACCGCTGCTATCCTCTTATCTTTGATGAAGCCAGAATCCTCTCCGTACGCCAGCTTCAGTGACTCTTCAATCATCTTGATACTGCCTCCCATCGGAAGGTACTCCCTGAATTGCAAATTTAGCGGATATAATGGTCAGAACCCACGGCATCCTTACATTACTAAACCTGAAGACTGCTTAGCATTAGCATGCCTAGGATGAGCAAAAATCAATTTCACGGTAAGGGGGGAAGCGGGGCAGTGCAAAAATCTAATCTAAAGATATGATTTGGTGTGGCTACGGCGCGGCCTCAGGGTGGCCACGTCGCCGGCTTTTCGCGGCCGTTCGATCGGCCCAGATCGGGCGAGCCGCGGTCGTTTTACGAAAAACCCCTTTAAGTTTTTGGAAATCAACCCGCGCTCCAGACGCCCTCTCAGAATTTTTTACAAAAAAACGCCTCGTATTATTTCCAAATCAACGCTCAGTCCAGACCGGATGGGCACTGGTTTGTTTGCAAAAAAGACATCCACTTTAACGAAAATCAACTCGCGCTCCCCAGACACTCTCGCCGTTTTTTTGCGAAAACATCCTCAGATTTTTTTCAAATCGAAATACAGCCCAATTTTGATTATATTTTTTTTCCTCAAAAAAATACGTGTGGGCAGTGGACCGCGCGCATGGGCGCGCCCGAAAAACTAGTACTAATAAGTAAGCTGAAGCCAAGCTACGCGGTGGATGGATCGAGCAACACGCAGCATCATTCCAAAGATGTCATTTTCGCCGGATCGCATGGAAATGGGGAGAAGAAAACAATGCAGGGGGACCGGTCGCGAAGGAGGAGGGGAGATGTCTCACATGTTGAGGTTGCCCAAGATCCGGCGCTCGGCCTCGCGCACGCAGCTGAGCACGACGGGCTGGCCGTTATCGTCCCGGTAGGCGCCCTGCGGCAGAAGAGCACCCGTCCCGTTCATCAGGATTCAGGAACGGAGGACAAAGCTAGAAAGCAACATTCCGCACGACAGCGATCGACCGCGGGGGGAGAAGAGAAGAGAAGATCAGAGGTTCGCGGAGCGGAGCAGATTACGTACGACGCCGACGTTGACTTTGTCGGGCGAGGGGTCGGCGAGGAAAGCCTCGGTGACGCCGAGGATGGGGTCCTTGGGCGCCGGCTCGACGTGGCCGAAGAGCGACGACGCCATCGCCCTCGCCGCCAGCAGCCTCGGCGGCAGCAGTGCCGGGCGCCGGGCCGCGGAGGAGGCCGCGAGGGAGAGCGTCGCCATGCCGCAGGCAGGGGCTACCTTCTTGTGCCGCGGCGGCAGAGAGGGAAACGGGCGGGGGAGGAAAGTTTGTGTGTGTGTGTGTGTGTGTGTGTGTGTGTGTGGTGTGTGGGGGGGTGGCGGGCGCGAAGGCTGTGGCTGTGGGCTTTTGTCACTCAGGGCATGATCCAATAGCAAAGCTGTCTGGTGAGGTAAGTCTGTTTTCATATCTTGCTTGGTTCACGTCCTGGGAGTAGACAGAGGGACGGAGCAGCGTTTGGTTGACGCGTCTCACGTGGCTTCCTGTAGGGTGATCAGGTTCAGGCAAGTTGGATTGGAGCCCAGGCAGTCGATTTCCTACGCCTGCTCACAGGCAACTTGTAGCAGGCAGATTTCTCAGGATGACAATCAAATAAATTACAGGAAGATTATATACAGGTGTCCGGTCCAGACATTTCAGTCCAGGTCTTTATCCAAACATGCCCTCACTGCGCCGCTGGTTTTGCTTTGCACTGCACTAGACGAGCAGTAATAAAAGTGGACCGGTTTTGGCCTGCTGCGACGGTTCGCTGCTGCGGCGGCCACTCGGCACCGCCGCTCTCGCCACTTGCCTCAAACAAACAGCCCAGGCCAGGACGCCAGGTCGCATCACCTCGAAGCGCGAGAGCCGCCATTTTGGCCCTTGCCCGGTTGCCCGCCCCAACCGCCCTCCTAGCTCGCAACTATGTCCGGCAACGTCACAAAATAACTTCATTTAGCGCTACAGCTAAAAAAAATTTAATATCTATTTTTATCTTTTCCAACAAAAAAAACCTAAAAATAAACCATTTCTATAAATGAGTCTTCCGAAGAGAGGATACTCATAGGTCTCACATACAGGTACTCCGTTAGAGGTCGATGACATAGTCTAAAGGTATCCGCACCGCAACAGTAAAAGTTAGATATGAGTTCTAAGTCAACCTCGTCAATAATGTTAGCTTTAACAGTGGCTTATAGCATGATTGGATCCGCATTACACTCCCACGTATTCTTGGAATATAGATATGAGTTCTAAGTCAACCTCCTCAATAATGTTAGCTTTAACAGTGGCTTATAGCATGATTGGATCCGCATTACACTCCCACGTATTCTTGGAATATATATATGATCCTAACTCTTGATTGAGTTAGCATTTCTTTCTCTTCTGTTAAAATATGAAAAAAATAGAGCTAGCTTATGAGTCACCCATTGCGGATGTTCTAAAAGCTCGTCATCGGCTTCAACAGGCTCCACTGCACCTTACGAATCTTCTCTATAATAAAATAATGTAGGAATCCTGCATAAAAAAGTGGGCCCATGGATCAGGCCACGTCGTCCAATAACCCGCTAGCTGTAGGATCAAGCCGGCCCATCACGTGAAAGTGGGTCTATCACCCATTAAACCGAAAACCGGGCGCTCGAGGAATTGTGCATCAAAAAACGTACAAGAGGATCGGGCCACGTCGTCCAATAAACCGCTAACCATAAGATCGAGCCAGCTCATCACGTGAACCGACTGAACCAACCGATACAAATGTTAGTGGGTTCGTCACCCATTAAACCGGGAAACCAAACACTCGTGCATATTTGTGAGGCCACCCGAGGTACGAGCTCATCAGCCATCCCCCTAGAGAGTCATCGAGAAGGTGATGGCCCCTGGTTGCAACCATGGAGGCGGTCATCCCGCAACCTCCTCCCAGCCACGTTGGGAGAGCAGTCACTCGTGCCATGGAGCCGCCCTACACCGAGCGACTGCTGGGAGAGCAGTCACAGATCAATGCATACCCACAGCCGTTGACACCGTCGCTTGGCTTATGATCCGTCCGTGATCAGATCCTTATTCCATCGCATTGGAGCATGACCCACCTGTGTCGAGGCGAACATCACCATCGCTTCAGCGTATGAACCGTCTGGTCATAGGGCATGGTCACCGTCGCGTTGCAGTATGATCCACCCATGATGATCCTTTAGTCGGTGTCGGGTTACTAAACGATTTGGCGATGATGCACTATTAGCCCCTACCGCATCAGACAAATAGTGGTGGTGATGGCTGTCTGCTTCACCGAAGGCGAGTGGTACAACGGTGATGACAAAACATCCAACGGCCCTAACACCCGACGGTGACAGAATTGCATCCGGTTTTTATAATGTATTTACTAATTCAGCTAGGCCTTAATAACTTACTCAACACACACCATTCAGATATAATCATTATGCATTATTCATCATGTCCACAACGAAGAGTACTTGTTATAATAATAGTGCTCGACACTAACATAACAACTGTGTCAACTGATGAATTAACACAAGCGGTACATAGATATCATAATAAAGGTTCTGCTTCCTACAGACTTATGTAACTAAAACGAGGTAGATGTGCTCCGCTCCTTCTGATTGGCACTCCTTGATCAGCTTGGCAGCTAATGCAGCATGGAACCCCTCTTCTTCCTCCCATACCCATTGCATGAAAATCGTTCAAAAGCACAGAGACTCCAAAACATGCACAATACAAAGCAGTAGAATTAATAATATTTAACATACCATTGGATTAGTTACTATACCAAAATTGGACTATATATAGAGTTATAGACTCAAAACATCTCCCTACCTGAACAAAGACTTGTCCTAACAATAAAATACAACATATACACATTTACTGCTCTGTTAATGACTCCATAAATAAGGGAACATAAGGTAGATAGTGAGGTCCATTCAAATAAATACTCTAGGCACTTTTAGGATAGCGGACGACCTAGGCAGAGAGGACATGAACTTTTCTACGGCTCATGTCATATGCCATCAGTGTTCTGTCATCCCCAATAAGGAAAATCAAATTTCATTCTAGGTGAACTGCAATTACTCTGTAGTCCGCATTGGTAGCCTCAGAACCGAGTCCAATATTGTTCAGTCCAAATAGCTGCAACGTGTTCACCGTATGCTTCAATGTTCATTTACTAGTACCATAGTCTTCAAGGAGATTGAAAGGTCAGACGTATTGAAAATATAAGCAGTACATAGACACAACTAACCCTGATCTCCATGGATGGACACTGCAGGACCTGGTAGCCTAAGAATTTTCCTCCATGTCTTTCCCTCCATATCAACAGCAACTATGTGGGACACCTCCAGCATGTGCATAAAACCATTAAGAAACACAGTTCCTGAAAATTTGCATACTAGAATATCCTCTCCCCATTCGGATTCTTTACACACCCATACTCCAGTTTTGGATGAGTAGATGCTGACAACTAACACCCTAGGCGACCTTACCCACAGTTCTACCACATAGAAGTGCGAGGAGATTGTGGGATCGGGCCCCAAGCGAGCTGAACCATAACAAAGGTTGCTATGAAGCAGTACCACTAATTTGCTAGTTACCGGATTGCAGACAATATAGCAAAGCCCAACGCACTATCAGAGAAAGAGGCCTCTGCAGCAATCTGAGATGACTAAATCCTGAACGGGGAAGGGCAAGAAGGAAAAGGAGGGATATTCACCGGTGAAGCTGGTGAATCGGCGTTTGCCTTTCCAGTTGCCATACATGAATCCGGCGACAAACTGGGGCAGCTCCTTATGGTGCTCGAATTTGGAGATAAGGCAGTACCAGGAGCGACACACACTTGCAGCTGCACAAGGTGTGAGCGGTGAGGTGGTGGAGGATAAGGACCAAGACATCGTCTATGATGATGTCTACTTCATTCCTCCTGTTGGTGGCCTCCTCCTCCATCTTGACTAGGATGTGGTGGAGCGGGGTCAGCAATGGAAGCGGCAGCGCTTTCACCTGGATCATCGTCCAGGTGATCGGACCACCTAATGCTTAGACTTCTCCACCGATCAACTAGTTAGACCGCTAGGTTCATGGACTTCATCGCCGACCAGTTGATCGGACTGTTTGCCGCTACACCGAGGGCTCCTCGGTGCTCGGACATCGCCAGCTACGTCGGTTACTCCTCGGTGCTTGGATTCTTCGTGCCCGAGGACTAAGTGGGCACACTTCACCACACGGACGTCGCCAGCTACGCTGGAGACTCCTCGGTGCTCGGACAACGCCAGCGACACCGAGGACTCCTCGCTCTTCGGTGCTCGGACATCGCTAGGGACGTCGGGGACTCCTCGCTCCTCGGTGCTCGGACATCGTCGGCGACGCCAGGGACTCCTCGGTGCTCGGACATCGCCAGCGACGTCGGGGACTCCTTGCTCCTCGGTGTTTGGACTTCGCCAGCGACGCCGGGGACTCCTCGATGCTTGGACATCACCTGCGACGCCGGGGACTCCTAGCTCCTCGGTGCTCGGACAACGCCAGCGACACCGGGATCCTCGCTCTTCGGTGCTCAGACATCACCAGCGGCGCCGAGGACTCCTCGATACTCGGACATCGCCAGCGACGCTGAGGGACTCTTGCTCCTCGGCGCTCGAACATCTCCAGCGACGCCGGGACTCCTCGGTGCTTGGACATCGCCACCTACACCGAGAACTCCTCACTGCTCGGACGTCACCAGCGACGCCGGGGACTCCTCGCTCCTCGGTGCTCGGACATCACCAGCGACGCTGGGGACTCTCGCTCCTCGGCGCTCGGACATCGCCAGCGACGCCAGGACTCCTCGGTGCTCGGACATCGCCGCCTACGCCGAGACATCGCCAGCGACGCCAGGGACTCCTCGCTCCTTGATGCTCGGACATCGCCAGCGACGCCGGGGACTCCTCGCTCCTCGATGCTTGATCATCGTCAGCTACGCCGGGGACTCCTTAGTGCTCGAACATCGCCAGCGATGTCGGGGACTCTCGCTCTTCGGTGCTTGAACATTGCCAGCGATGCCGGGGACTCCTCGCTCCTCGGTGCTTGGACTTTGCCAGCGACACCGGGGACTCCTCGCTCATCGGTGTTTGGACTCCGCCAGCGACACCGGGGACTCCTCGCTCCTCGGTGCTTGGACATCGCCAGCGACGCTGGGGACTCGCTCCTCGATGCTTGAACATCATCAGCGACACCGGGGACTCTTCGCTCT